TATATATATATATATATATATAAATAAAAACACTTGCATAAGGATTGTTGTCACCTAATGCAAATTTGGATTTTATCAGTGAACATATTTGCTTGAAGGAAACTTGCTGCAGAAGCTTTCAAACAAATTCATTTGTTTTGAAGAAAGGGAAAGTTAAAAACTAATTTCTTTCCAAAAATACAACTTGTAATTTCTTTGTTAGATGTGAAAATCCTTTTGGTACAAAGTGAGGAAGGCCATCTTAAAATGTTTTCTTGCTTCTTTACCCATGTACTTCTTTCTCCTTTTGTTCCTATCTTCTGTAATTTGAGTAAGAAATGAGTGTATGAAAGGGGCAGATGAATAGATGTAATATTGGATGTTGGCATGCTACTTCCTTTTTTTCTTCTACTAGTGTTTATTTTATTTTTTTCTAGCCCTGAATCAGTTTTCTGTAGTGATTATGTGCTGTTTCAATATGCTCAAGATAATAGCAACTGGCTGAACATGTGTGCATGATATTACACTGCAAGCTAGTGATACTGGCATACACTTGGATCAAGGCTTCACTAAACAGCTCAATGAGAACATTAGGATGTTGTAAAAATGAAGTCATCATTTTTCCTTCTTGCTCTTTTGTTCATTCTTTTTTCTTCTAAGAAAGAAAAGGGGGAAAATGACACATTTTCAAAGAATGAAGCTGTTCTGTGGTGCTCTGATTTAAATGTATAAATTATTAAAGAAATCGCGTACTAGGAGGGTAGTAATATGTGATTCTCTGTATACAGAGCGCCCAAGTCCTGGAGCTGAAGAAGATCACATGGAGGGAAGCCTGGTACGCAAACACGAATGGGAGACGACTACAAAGAAGGCTTCTAACAGGTACCCCCACAAAGCTCTGCCATGTTGAATTTTATCGACAATTTCTTGTTACCTGCATTCTATTTACAAGATTGCCTAATTTTACCCCCCTCCCCCCGCGATTTCAACAAGATACCAGAAAAGATGTTTATATATTAGAGCGGGTTCTGAGGGAATATCAGAGGGTAAGATGCAGCTGCAAAAATGAAAACTTATATGTGTGCCTCATAAAAAATAAGTGCACTGACTTATTGTATAACTGTCAGAAAATAAAAAAAACTTAACAGTTTCAGTTAATCCACTTTTAAACGGTCATTGTAAAATGGTAAAGTGATTAAGTACACTCACTTTGTGAAGTGAAGTGGAATGATATGTAATGAAACTAGAAATAATTATTTTCATTCCTGTTTCTTTCCTTTCCTTTCTTCCTTTTTTCTTTTTCTTCTTTTTAGCAATACAGTTTGTAATTCATGAAATTGTATCTCTTTTGTAATTCATGAAATTGTATCTC